TAGTGCCTGATTAACTATCGGAATGGCAAAATGGAAGTAGGTATTTGTGATACCGATGCAATAACATCAGCACTTTTTTCTTCTCACTGAAACCAGGGATTGATCCTAAGACCTCATGCATGCTGTCAAGGGCTCTACCACTGAGCTACATCCCCTAGCAATGTAACATCAGCACTTCTGGCCTGATAAAATTCCTTTACAAACAAAGGTGATTTGGACAGCAATTATAAGTATATAATGTAGAGATCCTCAAAAAGCACCAACCTTATGCCTGCACCGCATCCATTCTCCATTCCTTAACAATCCCCAGCAACTTAAGGCTTAAGTTCTTTACAGTCTTTTGCTATTGCCAAATGGTACTTGGTTTTGAAGCACATTCAATGTTCATATTTGGTTCCAGTGCTTTCCCAGATTTGGGATGAATTCAAAAGACATATGTGAAGTCAAAGAGCAGGTTCCCAGATGCTTGGGAAGGGCTGGAAACCTTACAGCCTTTTGCCTTCAGCAAAAATGTATTTCAATATAATCACAGTAGATAGCTTTCAATCTGTCACCTCTATTCTAGCAGCTGTGAATTACACGAATTGCCTGTATACAAGCATTTCTTCTGGTACAAGCAAAGTGGGAGACCAGCACAGAGCATGATATATCTTTCCCTTTTAAACTGAGGACAAATGCTGAGGTCAAATCTCATTTGCAAAATCCAGTGCATCCATTTCCTTTGGTAGCAAGGGAAGAAAGAAAGGCCAGCTTAACTGAAAGCTTCTGTTCTTAAAAACACGGCTTCTTAGGACCCATGGCCTCAGTTCATAGGAATCCATCTTAACAGCTGGGTGTCTAGTCATAAGAACATATTTGAAAAGTACAGGGAAGGCATTTTCAAGACTTGTAACTAATCAAGAAGACAGAGAAGGTATGTCTCTCAGCTAGAGGAAAGCAATGCACTCATGATAAAGCCTTGTAAAATGGCTTACAGTAAGCTTTGGGAAATTGTCCTATTCCTGTTGGGCATCAGATCAACAAGGCCAAGTAGAATAGTATTGTTTCCTATTGAGTGGTGGTGACAGCGAAACCCTTGCTACAAGAGACATCCAATGTCTAATATTTCAAAAGCATTTATAAGTGAGTTGGATGTTTATCATCAAGAATCATTAAATCTGAGTCTGTGCAATAGAGACATGGGATCAAGGAACAGTTTCTCAGAGGAAAAGGATAGAATTTTAAAGACAATCTATTCCTAAATAAACATAAAACAGAGCCTTGCAGCTTAGCTGTGACTTTGCTGGCACTGTAGCTCTGGTCTGTTAGCTTCGTGAGTATGGCTGTGTTACAAGGTACTTTAATTTACTGCAATGGTGATATTTGCTAATTTTATAGCAATCTAAATCTGAACAGGCTTCAGATACGTTTTCATTATAGCTTCATTGCAAAACACAGTAGAGTGAATAACTCTTAAGATTCCAATGTAGTTTATTTCTGGGGCTGGAGAGATGGCTCAGGAGTTAAGAACACTGGTTGTTCTTGCAGAAGACCCGGGTTTGAATCCCAGCACCCACATGGCAGCTAACAACTACCCATAACTCCAGTTCCAGGGGATCCAACAGCCTCTTCTGACCTCCATGGGCATTGCACGACATGGGTGCATTTACCTACATGCAGGCAATACACGCATACATATAAAATAAAAATAATAAATTTTTTTAAAAGATTCCAATATAGTTAATTTCTTTGAGTAAGACTCAACAGAATTTTCTAACAAAGCCTCTACCTTAACATACATAGTCTTCCTATGTACCAACAAACTTTCTGTCACTCAGAGTACCTGTGATCACTTTTACGAAAAAAAAATTTTTGGCAAGTAATTAGTTGTTTTTCATCTGTTCTGTTTCCATTTTAAATGCAAACCAACATAGGCCAATCTGAGAAAGCCTGAATACACCCACATTATTTTTCAGTTCTGCATGGGGAGTAACAGAACTCAAAGGACACGGGTGGCCTATTCTTAGAAAGTGACTCTGATGGCCCATTCTGACACTAACGTAACACTGGACAAATTATCTCATCTAGAAAATGGAGATACAATACTATCTATTTTAGAAATGTCATTCCTTCCTCTTACTTCACTCTATTAAGCCTTTCTAGTGACCAAAGCATGCCCTGTACTCTGGTACCCTAAACAATTAAAAGGAAACGCCCTTCTTGTAAAATGTCACTGACAGAACCACAGCTATGAAAGCCAAGTCTGAAGACAACTCAAGAGAATTAAATGCCACTATATGATTTGTAGACAATTCAGAAGCTAGAGGACAGAATGTGTAAATTAAAGCTGTGTGGAGTCTACTAACTCGTCACCATACTCCGCCTGCGTGTCCACAGTGCTACAGATGCTCTATATCTGTATGCTTCCTTCTAAATGTGCTAAAATGAGGAAGGAAATACATTTTTAGATAGTTATTAAATCACTAACTATATCCAGATATAAGACTCATTATTAATGTTTAAATTTGTTATTTCTCAATTTTATATTTGTACAAAATACAAGAAATAGAACTTGTATATAAAGTGCATTTTTAAGACAAAGCACACAGACACACAAATACAGACACATGCAAATATACATGCACACACATTTGCTCACTTGTACAACTGCTAATGATTTGATTCTGGTATCAGCTGAGACTAAAGTTACTAAAGTCTTGTGGGATTTCTAGGGCACTTCTAAAACAATGGGGCTCAAATCCTTGCCTTTCACTGCTGCCAGCTCCACCCACAACAGGGCTTTCTGGATAAATGAGAAAGCAGGTGGAAAGGAAATATAGTAACAGCATAGTCAGGAGCCCCCTGTTTCTCAACCACAACAGGGGGCCATGTGGCCCCTAATATACATCTTTCTATGCAATGTGACTAGTGGCAGGTGCCTGGTAAATATGCATAGATCTATTTAACATAGAGTTAAGCAATTAGGATTATACTACAAATTAGAACCATTTTCTACTGTTTATGCTTAGGGCAACCTTTCAACCATGACTTATTTTGTTTATTCTCAATTATTCATGTCAAATCAGAAAACTGGGATTTTTTTCATACACAATAATTTTTTTCCAAAGTTCTTATGTGTACATTCTCCACCAAAATTGATCCTTGCAAATGAGACATAGTTTTTGAATCCCAGAAAACAGAAAATTGGATATTAATTTGCATTGCACTTAAGATAACACTACATAAATCCTTCTGCCCTTCCTCAAAACACTCACCTCTGGGATAAAGATGCAACATTTGCTTAAAACCATCAGATCCAGAGTATAAGAAAAGGCAATGGGTGTGGACAACATACACATTTGAAACTGTTCAGAGAACTTATAAGAAAAATCAGTATCAAAATTGAACAGTGGTTGCCAGGGATTAGCAGGGAGGGAGGTATGGAGGGGGCAATGAGGATCTGTGTGGCAGTAGGAGCTCTTTGGTGTCATAGGCATATGCATCTGTCCAAACATAGAGTGTGAAAGACCAAGACTGAGTGCTGATGCAAACTATGAACTCTGGGTAGGTCAATGGTGGCTTGTCAGTTGGAGCAAATATACCTTTCTGATGGGTGATGTTGCTAAGGGGGAAAGCCATGCATATGTGGATGCAGGAGCACACAAGCTATCTCTGAAATAACACTGCTGTCAATGTTATTTCAAACTTCTCTTTAAAAAGATTTGAGCAGGACCCTACATACACCCATTTCCCACTAAAGTATACAGACTTTATGAAGTAACTACCTACACACAGCATTTACAGAATAGATTATATAATGTCTAAGACTTGTTTTTAAATACTCCACTAAGAAGGTGAAGGGAGACATGGACAATTGGCAAAATGTTGACTGTTTATCTAGGTGATACACTGAGTCCTATGAAATGAAACAGTTTGAAACTGTTTTGTTACTCTTTGTTTGAGATGGGTACAGGCTAGTCCTCAACTCCTGGCAGAAGCAGTCTTCCTGCTTCTGCTTCCTGAGTGGCTGGGTCTGCAGACTCAGGCCACTGCATCCAGCTTACTTTGACTCCCAAACATGGGAACTTCACAAGAGTCAACTTAATTTATTCTTTCAATTTTTTTGTAGGTTTAAAAGTTGCCATTGTCATTTTTTAAAGATCTTTTTAATGAGAATCCATGTTAAATAAGAATTTCTCAGTCTAAGCAGATTTTTTAGCTTTAAATTACCAACTAAAATATGTGGAAAACAATCAACATTTTACCTTTTTACATTGAATCCCCACATTTTAACTAATCTGAGTTTCTGGAAATTTGGAAGTATCTCTTAATAGCATGCTATAGTTAAATGGCAATGTAACTTTTTATTGCTGTTGGCAGTTGGAACAACAACATAGATTAAATTCAAGGATACCTGACTCAACGGAGCATGGCTAGTAAGTTTGTTGAGAACAGGATTCTCAATCCTCATTCCTTGCAATGAGGAACTTAGTTGGTGTTCCTGTCCTGGCATAGCCACAGTTAACCTGGGAGGCCTTGTCCTCAGAGAGACACCAGATGCTGCTTACTTGATGAAGTTAGATCCATCCATAAGAAATAATTCCTAGGAGGATTCCAGAACTTACAGTATAAGAAATTAAAAGCTCAGTGGGCAAAGACACTTTGTTTTAAAAATTGTTAAAGCTTATAAACAAAGTCAGTGCCCAGGTGCAAATCTGCAGAGCTCTGCAGGGCACCATGCGATAAGGTTAAAGGGGCTTACAGCATGTGGTGTTAGGCACTTCAAGTGTGAGGAATGAATAAAACTGAATCAAAGAAGGGACTCAAGGGTTAGGTCTACCCTGGAACCCCACAGGGATCTTCATTTCATGGTTCCAACAACTCTGTGGATCCCTACATCCTCTTTACTTATGTGTTCCTGGTGTGAACACCTACCCCTCATGGCCCTTGGAATTGGTTAGCACGGTCTAGCAGAAGAGCAATAGAAGGTTTGTGCAGGACTGAGAGTGGCGGCTGCTGACCTGTTCATATTTCTCCAGTTCTGTGTGATAGATTTGTCTGATCTGGGTCAATTTGGCTCTGTAATCTGAGTGTTCAATAGAGTTATCTGAAGAACCTCCAGAGGCTGCTGCGGCTGCAGCTGCTGCCGCCGATCCCCCACCTTTCTCAGGACCTGAAACCCCTTCTGCCAAAAGCATATTGTCCAGTCTCATTAGCTGGGGGTCGGGAGGGTCCTCCTCCTGGGCTCCTCTGATGCTGAGACCTTCAAGGAAAGGGAGAGACAGAGAGAAGAAGCGAGAAACAGAGGACAAACAGTGTGAGTATTTTGTTTATTTGAGAAAATGAGCAAATAACATCAGTGTACGACAATTCATGCTGAGAGCATCATCGCTCACATTTGATAAATAAGCCTGAGTATAAGAACTGCTTTCAAAATAGCATTACATGAATCCCAGGACTTCTAATATGCCCTTCCATAATTTAACCCGAACTTGGATTCTTAGAAAAAGGTAACCCTGGCTTTGTAGAATATTCTGATCATGGAAGCTTCTCAGATTTAAATGATCTACACATAAAACAGGAAGGAGGGGCCTGAGAAGAAAATAATACAGAGATATAAAAACAAATTCATCAAAAGGTGGTTGATTTGTCTCTCTGTACAGCCAGAGAAATACTTAAAATTCCTATACAATAATTTTAATTCACAAGCTATATCCAAAAATTGGGAGATAAAATAGGATTTGATGGCTTTTCCATCATGCAATTTCAAAAGAGAAATGCATAGTGTGAGGTGATTAGGTAAACTTAAATGCAAATGTTATTAAAAGAACATTGTTAAGCAACTGTCAGCAAACTATACAACAAGGACACTAAATACAGTGTTTAAAACGTGCCACTGACATGGCAATAGAGTGCTGGGCACAGTAGTCTCAATCTAATTTTGCTTTTAAATCAAGAACTTCCTAAGTGATGCCCAGTCAGCAACCTCTTCTGAGCACTATAGATCACAGCTGACAATTCATAGGTTTAATCAGGTCACACAGGCTTTTCTGCCAAGATGTTTTCAACAACACAGAAGACAAAGTTTTAAAATAATTATCATGGTATAAAAAGCACTGGAGTCATGACAGCTCAAAATCAGCATTTTCATTAATGTATAACATAATCTAAAATATCCCAGCCCAATTAACCTCTGTAAATCTGCTTAAAAGCAGGTTCCCCACACTAGTTACAAGGCTAGGGGAGAGGGAGTTGGCATCTTGCATGTTTGCCTTTGGATTCTGCCTCTTGGCGTGTGCCTGTTGTTTATCCACAGTGGTGCACATTCTGTGTCAAGTGCAACTTACATGACAGTAACATCTATAAGCTGCCAAGCACTCAACTGATCACCAGCTCTGTGGTTTCATATGCTAACTTAAATCCACCATCAATTCGGTTAAGAGCAGACTCCATCCGTAGATGTCCTGAATCACACTCAGCATGTCAGAGTTCTTGGATGTCTTAACTCAAACCCACAACTTTAATTTCCTTCCCCCACCCAACACTTTAAAGCTGTCGCTTCCACTTAGAACTAATTTCAACTGAATAATAAAACTAACTCACCATAATTTAAAATTTTATCTGTTGCCGCTTCAGAAACAGATGAATAAGGTCCGAAAACTACAACATTCTAAGGCAATAATTTCATTTAGAGAAACCAAAAGACAGATGAATCTCTAAGAACATATTGTTGGAAACTAGAGATAAACATGTATATGCTAGTTATTGTAGAACTAGAAAAAAACTGCCTTGTATTGTTCCAAAACTGCTCCATCCCCTCAAATTCACCAAAATGCTTTCAATGTTAATACCTTCTGGCTGGGACCCACTGCTGGGTCTGGGTCTCAGTGTGGGCGAGGGGGGCTTACTCAATGATCCCCTTGTCCTGCGTTTCCCATTCTGTTTTAAATCATCTATTTAGGAGCTCCTAGTGTTTCTCCTTTTAAAATTCAACTTTTGCTCACATTTTTTTTATGTATTTGATTCTGTTTATTTAGAGATAACTGCACTTCATCTGAAATGGAGGGAGTTTTTGAAGTTGAGTGACAGGATCTCACTCAATGGAACCCATGATCATCCTGCCTCTGCCTCCTGAATGCCGGATTTATTCACAGGAGTGAGTCACCATGCCCAGCTACAAATGCACAAATGCATCTTTTTTTTTTTTTCCCCCTATAACTTGCCTTCAAGTTTCTGTCAGGTTTCTAATTTCCTTTTTGTATTTAAACACATTGATCTTTTCCTTGTGGACATGTGGAGAGGTTCTTTAATAGTAGATCAACAGCCAGAGTCAAAATTATTACACTTCTCTGCGCTTCCCTGCACAAGTGTGGCAGACAGGAAGATGTGGAATGACTGATGCACAGAGAAGCAGACCATGAGAGAGAAGGAGATTCATCAGGAAGAAATTCAGAAGGCATACAGCAATTGGCTATCTATGACATGCTAATACATACTTAACAATAGTGTCTGATCCATCACCACTACGGGAGTAGGAAGCCTAACAGTGGTGGACAAAGGAAGACTCTATGTATGTATGTTCAGCTACTGTAATATTTCCTTCTTGTGATAAATAACGTCTGATTTCTAAATTCACAGGTAAATCAACATGTGTTTGCTTGAGGAACAAGAAAAAATGCTTTAATGTAACTGTTCTGTATTTACTTCTAAATTATGTGCATCAAACCCCATGAGAAAAATCATTTCCTGACAGAAACTTCATATCCTTTGGATGAAAAGGACTAGAGAACATTTTGCAATTAGGCAGCATTGAAAAGGCTGTTTGTCAATAATAAAGTCATTTTCAAAACTATAGTTTGAAAAGTGAATCTATTTTCTTTCCTCTATTAAGCAACGTAATGATCATGGGATTACTAAGTAGTAATACTTGTTTTCTAAAATATTTGTATTTCTTTCTTTATGCTCCAGTCATATTTAATTCCTCATGCTTCCTACCTATCTATCACTATAACGGGCTTACTAACCTCACCAACTCACGTGTGGCTTCCAGTCCCAGTACCCACTCCTCTGGGCACCTATAAACAAACATTAACGTGCCTAGATTTGCAAGGGCCAGAATGAACCAGACCAGGCTACATCAAAAGGGCCTGGCAGCTCCATACTGAAACTTGGTGAGTGTCAATTTAGGTTTTTGTTCTCCTCAGCCCCAAACATATGCATTGTGGTGCACATAAAGAAGCTTATCAACTTTCATATGAAGGCTCTTTGGTCAGCACAGCATTATGAAGCTTAAAAACGACCCTTCTATTTGCAGTCTACTTATAACCACAACATTCACGTCAGTATCTATAAGATTTAGACAAATCATACAAACACAGAAAAACATTCTTTAACAATGAACTTGGCTTTGTTATAAGCCCATAGTTTTTGCGTATCTTTCAGCAAATCCTAATTAGCTGCCTTTCAATGTGCTGTGCACCTGCCCCACAGATAATGGGAGAGAGCATCTGCATAGACAACTGCATTGGAGGGCAATAAACAAATTACAGGTCAAAACTGTTACAAAGCTTTCTCCAAATGCACGCACACCCTTCACAATACTAAGCTGCAGATGTAAAAAGCACCTACAGCCCACTCAAATGGTGTGATTGCGGGCTGTTCCAGTTTAATAATCTGACTGTAATTCAGGCATTTTCAACAGCTCATTAAGGTTCATTAATACATGGGCAAGCTTTTGAATTATAAATAAGCAGATTAGGGATCTGTACTGGCTGGATTGTATAGTGTTAGCCTCTAACAGAACAACACTAACACAACAAGGCTTCATCTAGAGGACGTGGTGCAGGCCTGGGGCACTAAGCTTTGTGCTTTTCTTTTCAAGGACTAAGCCCACTGGACCTGTCTAACCTCATCCAGGACCAGAGATTACAGCTACTGCAAATATGTACTTCACATGTGGAGACTCTCACTAAGACCCAGCCCTACAGCTCTTCCATAGTCAGGGAAAACACATGATGCCCACAATAATGATGAAGAAAAGTTACCAAATCATTTGTACTTTGTAAAGAGTACATTATTCAGACCCGCTGAGAAACAAAAGGTCATTATGGAAACTTGAGTTGTTTTTCCCCCCTAATGAGCACACTATAAAACAAGACCCCAATTGTTCATAAGGCCTGGCCTATGAAATCACTGTAGTTTTGTTCTGAAGGACTTGACTCATCCATTTGACTACTACACCACAGAGGTAGTGCAGACGAAGATGTTTTAACAAAGTCTCATAAACAAAGGTAAGCAGATATCTTCAGCAGCCTTGAATTTCTGACTGCTTTGAAACAAGTAACAATTCTAGCATTTCCAGTTGATCTCATAATTTTCTATGAATTTGATTTCCTGTCTGTAATGTAATAAGCAGGACTAAGATCAGAAGTTATAAAGTGAATTAATGAAAATACCAACTTCATTTTCTGTGCTTTCTTCATTAAAAAAAAAAAATTCAGGCACCTGAAATTTGAGAAACCTAGCTCAGCTACAAAGGAGATTAATACAAACACATTGTTCCTTTCCTCCTCAAATATGAAAAAAAAAATTCTTCTACCTGAAATTCTTAAGAGGCTTTTGAAATATAATGACATCATCAACCAATCATTATACGATCTCTTGACACAGTTACATCTTGGTTTGTGAAAACCGGCATATAATTGGGAAATAAAGCAGAGAAAGGCACTGAAAAACACGGAGAGTACCACAAATTAAAGGAGATTTAGAATTAGAGGCTGGGGGTGGGGAAGGGGAGAGGTTGTGGTTCTGTCAGAGAAACTAGGAAGACTAGAGACCAGGCTAAGGTGTCAAGCTGACCCTTAAATGAGAGAAAGGAGAGAAGACAGAGGTATTGGTGGGGGAGAGGGAAGGGGGGGAGGAAAAGAGAGGAGGAGGGAGGAAAGGAGAGAGGGGCAGGAGCTGGACAGCACCAGCACCTCTGAGCTTCTAGGATAACACTTGCACTGAGATTTCACACTCTCCTTCTTAGGTCTGGAAATGAGGCTATAATCAAAAGAAAGACTCATACTATTTTTATGAACACCAGTAGAAAACCAGCTAATTCTTAAAATATTATGAGGAAGTGACAGGGCATTCAGCTGCCCATCTCAACCCTTGGCCCCCACACTCGTCTGGCTCCCGCTCCAACTCTCATTTTAAGTCCACGTTAGTGTCTAATCCACTGAATATGGCAGTCATATTACAAGCTAATGTCACTTTCAG